ACTACCACAGTCGGCTCGTCATAGTGAAGTTCATGCCCCTGAATCTGTACAAGGAAATGGTTCGTTTATCGACACTCTCATCTCACTGCTGTGCGGCATTCTTTGTAATAATGAACAGTACAATAAGACTGTAGGTAAGACATCATCCAGTATATGTATATACTTTACCCTACAGATCATTATTCCTTATATATGTAAAATAATTTTAAAAATTATTTTAGAATGTCCTTCACAGAAAAAGAATTGCTCGATTACTAAAATATTTTGTTGAAAACATTAAGAATTTTTGAATATAGATCATAATTTTTTTTATTTTTCTTTTGATAATATTATAGTAAGTATATATTTATTTTTAAATTTTTACCAATTTATTTTATAATTATAATTTTTATAACTTGTATTTAGAAATTAATTATTAATAAAATTTTAATAATTTTAATGATAACGACTTGGATCCTGTACATCTCAAATTTCTTTTTAAAATATTCATGTGCCATCATAAATTTCTATTATTTTGATTAATAATTAATAAAAATATTAAATCATAAAATTGTAAATGAACAATTGATTTTTATCTTTTAATGAAAATGATATTTTTTAAAGTTACAAACTTAAACATAAATCGACCAATTCTTTTTCTATACATAATTTTAGGAAGCGAGATTTGTTCTTAAATTTTATATTGTGTTATGTTATGTTATTTAAAATTTTATGTTATGTTATCTAAAATTTTTTTAAATAAAACTAAAAATTATTAAATATATGAGACTAAGCGAATCATTTTCGAAATGAAATGAAATTTAAAAATCAAGAATCAATAAATTGAACAGATTAAATAGAAAAATTATTACTTATCTTAACAAAATCTGCTTACAATTTGTAGTAAAATATTTAATAATCAATAACAAAACATAAATGCAAAAGCAATTCAAAAGCTTGAGGAACAGATAATTAAGTTTGTGCATGTGTCTTTGTCACGAAAAAGATATTTAACGAGCTTGGAAATAATTTATTAAACTTTTATTTCAGAATGTAAAAATGTAGCTTTATTATAATGCTACTAATTACAATCTATTGTTATCTATTTATATTGTATTTATATCTGTAATGTTGTCGTCGTTAATTTTATAGCGATAACTCCTTATTATCTTTCTGCTTTATATACTTTATATTTCACAATTTTATATTAATGAAAATATACAATGTAAAAAAAATAATATGAATTTAATGTGATAGTATCATATAATATCATATAAATGAATATCACAAGCGAAAGTATTTTTTCTATTTCAGAAACAAATAATAAAGGATTCAGTAAGGATGTATGTCGTAGCATGGTAGCTATGCTAGATGTAGATCATTCTGGAAAACTCGGATTTGAAGAATTTAGACAATTATGGACCGATATAAAGAAATGGAGGGTACGTTAATTTTCTACAAAAATAAATCGTAAAAAAATGAAATTTTTGATTAAGAGACATTGAAGATCTTATTTACCAGAAAATCAAAATTGTTGGAAATTTTACAAAATTTTCTTTAAATAATAATATTAATAATTTGAATATGAAGTGTAACAATTATTATCTATAAGTAGAATAAGAATCTGTTGATGTTTAATTAAACAAATCTATATTTACTATTAAAATAAGTTATTTGAATAATTTTTTTTTTTTACTTTAAAAATTTATTATTAAATATGAATAATTAAATATTTTAGTTCAAATATTTTAAACTATAATATATAATTTATATTATTTTTACTTTTTAAAACATCAGAAAATTGAAAACTTAAACAAATAAATTAAAATACAATATTTCATTGCACTATCCAATTTTAACTTATAAAATATAACTATAAAATAAATAATTATAATTAAATTATAACATTAGAAACATTAAAAAATAATGAATTTCCAGGCTGTGTTTAAATTATATGACAGAGATGAAACGGGACATTTAAGCGCGTTTGAATTGAGACAAGCATTAAATAGCGCGGGTTATCGGCTCAATAATCACATTCTAAATATCTTAGTGCATCGTTACGGAACAAAAGATGGTATGATCACCTTCGATGATTACATAATGTGCGCAGTACGACTTAAAACAATGATAGGTAAATGAATAAACACTAATAGATAAAATATCTAGAATATAATATAGCATAATTATCATGTTTGTTGTTTTCAGATATTTTCAGAGAACGCGATCCAGATTTAACTAATACGGCAACATTCACAATGGAAGAATGGATAGAGAAGACATTATACTCATAATGTAATGCATTTCAAAATTATTGACAAGGAGAGACAAATACTTCCATATTTTAAGAAACTTTTCTACTCATTGATTTAATGTAAAATAAAAATGCAAGAAACATGTTAAATAGATTAAAAAAACATATATTTAGAAAAAATGTTTTATGTAAATTTTACGTGTGAATACGTAAAATTCTTATAAATTCTATTATCAAAATTTCATTTAAAAAATACATAAAAAGGAAAGTATTATATTTAAAATTTTGCTATCTATAATATTTATCCATTATATATATTTTTTTGGTATATATATTTGTAGACAGAACCTGATATTTTGTGCCTTAATATATTTTTATATATTTAAATTTGAATTTTTTTAAAATAATTTATTAGGACAGATGTAGAGTAAATTTAATCTATATTTTATATAATGAACTCTACATTAATTATTTTAATATTTCTTAAATTTATTATCATATTCCTCATTGTTACATTTGCAATGATTCAATGCAATGATATTCATTGATTGCATATAAGAAAATAAAATTGTAAAATTTGAAAATATATTTAAATTCTATTCTAAATAAAATTTAAGAATTTTTTTTTAGAATTATATTTTTATTTTCCCTATATAAATATTGTAAAATCTTTATTATCTAGTTTAATGAAATATATGTATATATATTATGAGATATATTATATTTATTATTTATATATATATACATATAAATAATAAACTTGTTAAATTTATACATATAGTATATT